TTCTTATCACCCTTTGTTTGTGTTTTAACTGCAGGAGGGAACATCTGGTAAATTTTCTGTCTGGGGCTTTACAAAAGATTTAAGTATACCCTTGCTATCTCCAAGGATGGATCCAGACACTGTCCCATATAAATATTTTAGGTACCATGGAAATTTCTTCATGGTAGATAAAGTGGACTCTTTTAATTAAGATAGTTCTTTCCCATGAAAGAAAAACTTGTAGAGGTTACTGACAAACATCTTTGTTACTCAAATTTCCCTGGGTCTCTCCAGCTTGAGAAAATAAAGTGGAGTCATATTAACAGCTATAAATCTAAATGTCACCAGCTCATTCACACTTAAGCCATTTGAAAACACCTCTCTGCTGCTTTGGATGGTTCAGGGACACAGGCAGGCAGGACAGGGGAGTTCCCAGAGGTACCTCACAAGCTCATGAACAAATCCAGGGCCTCCAGGCTTGGTCCATTTGATACCCCAGTCACATCAGCCATGACCACAGGACCTGTTAAGTTCTTTAGCAGTTAGCAATTGCTATAATACAAGCCGCCCCGAATTCTAGTAGCTTACAATGGCAACCTGTTTAGTTGTGCTTTTATTGGGTATTTGGACTGAACCCAGATGGGCTCTCTCAGCCGTCTGTGGTCAGTTCTGGGTTAGTATCTTACTCCATTTTCTGTTTGCTATAGCAGAATACCTGAGATTAGGTAATTTGTAAAGAGAGAGAGAGAGAGAGAGAGAGAGAGAGAGAGAGAGAGAGAGAGAGAGAGAAGAGGTTTCTTTTGCCTTATGATTCTGGATGCTGCGAAGTCCGAGATTGATTGGCCACATCTGGTGAGGATCGTGTGCTGCTTCAACTTGTGGTAAAGAATGGTAGGGCAAGCAGGTGCATTCAAAAGAGACAAAGAGACAGAACACAAGGGATAAACTTGCTTTATAACAAGCCACTCTCAAGGTAACTAATTAGGTCCTTTGAGAGCAAGAACTAAGTCATCAGAGAAAGGCCTGAATCCATTCATGAGGGCTCAGCTCCCATGACTCGACCACCCCCACACAGCACTGCCACAGGGAGGAATTAAGCTTCCAAAGAGTGAACTTTGCGGGGACACAATCAAACCCAGGCAGCTGGAGAGGGAATTACTGGTTTTGGTTGGACTCTCTCACACCTAGGGTTTTGGCTGGAACAACTCAGCTGACTTGGCCTTGGACTGTGTGGTCTCCCATCTTCCAGTGGGCTAGCCCAAGGTTTGTGAACATGGTAGAGACAAAGTTCCAATAGAGAGAGTAGAAGACTCTAGGGCTTCTTGCTTGATGCCCAGGCTTTGCAAAGGCACAATACAGTATCTGCTATGTTCTATTGGCAAGTCACAGTGTCAACCCACATTCCAGGTGGAGAAACTGGAGGAACTGCAAAGTCTCATTGCAAAGAGTATGCAGGCCGGGAGGGGAGTAATTGTGACCATTTGGGCAATAATTCTACCCCTTTCTGGGTATTCTTGTTGACCTACCAAGCCCTTGAATCAGAGAAGCTGAATGGTGGCATGTTAGTCCCTTAAGTGTTTCTCACAGGGTGATCCCCAAAGATGGCTACTTGAGCCTCTCAGTATCCCTGAGGAGCACAAAACAGTCCTTTGTAACTCAGAACCCCTTCGGTCTTCCCAGGAGAGTCCCCTTCTATGGGTCCAGTTTGGGGCCACTTCAACTCTCTTTCATGGCTTTACTGGGCCAAACTTGTTTTCTACTTCCCTCAGAGTGAGGTGACCTTCCAAGAGGGGCTTATTATTATTATTATTATTTTTAACCTCCGAAGCAAACAAATCTCCAGCCAGCCCACCCTGCTGTGTGCCTGGCATATCCAGGTATGGTGGGGTCCCAGGAACAGATTTGCTTAGACTTCCTTATTTCTCTATGACTGACTGGATCTTCTTTTGCAGATGTGTCAGTGAATTCTTACTCTCTGGGCCTGTGCTGTCCCTGTGGAAGCCACTTGTCACATGTGGCTATTGAGTACTTGGAATATGTCCAGTGCCCCTGGGAACTGACTTCTAAGCTTATTTATTCATATCTAAAATTAAAATTTATACACTGATACTCAATTCAATTGCTGGGAACCATTTAAGTATGTTTGGAACAACTTGGTTTATATGGATCTACAACTAGTTTTATATAACTGCAATTTGAATATTTTTAATGAAAATTTAAATCTGAATTGAGGTGTGTAGAAGTATAAATATATACTTAATTCCTGTTCAAGTATGAAAATAGAATGTAAAATATCTCATGAATAATAAAACATAGATTACATGTTGAAACGACAATACTTTGGGTATACTGGGTTAAGTAAAAAATATTATTAAAATTAATTTCACCTGTTTCTTTTTACCATTTTTAATGTGATTATTAGAAAGTTTAAAATCAAGCTGGATGCAGTGACATCCCAGTAATCCAGGAGCAGGACTGAGAGTTCAAAGTCAGCCTCAGCAATTTAGCGATGCCCAAGCAACTCAGTGGGACCTTCTCTCTATAAATAAAATACAAAATAGGGCTGGGGATGTGGCTCAGTGGTTAAGTGGCCCTGAGTTCAATCCCTAGTA